GTGATAAACTCAGAGTACTAGTTTACAATGTCTTAGAAGGATCCCAAATGCTGTTAAATGCTCAGAGCACTAGTTTAGCTTGTCTTAGAAGGCTCTCAAGTGCTCTCCTTCCACGCCCATAAGATCGATGAGGTTATGCACATAATAAAAGTGTTTGGAGCCCAGAGCTCAGGACCAACAGGGTTCCCACACCTGTATTGGTCCCCTGGACCCATGCTGTAAATCTACCCTTGTGTCTCTGTCTATTTCCTTTTCTCAATCCGTCGTCACCTCCGGGACTAAGGGTACACACGTATGGGGTTTGGCTGGTTTCCAACAATAAATGTCAATTTTTTATTTTTTTTTATTTTTGAGACAGAGTCTTTCTTACTCTGTTACCCAAGCTGGAGTGCAGTGGCATGATTTCAGCTCACTGAAACCTCCGCCTCTCAGGTTCAAGTGATTCTCATGCATCAGCCTCCCAAGCAGCTGGGATTACAGGCACATGCTGCCACCCCTGGCTAATTTTTTAATTTTTAGTAGAGACAGGATTTCACCAGGTTGGCCAGGCTGGTCCTGAACTCCTGACCTCATATGATCCACCCTCCTCAGCTTCCCAAAGAGCTGGGATTACAGGAGTGAGCCACAGCGCCTGGCCTCAATTTTTTTATTTTTAAAGGACAGGAGTACCAGTATGTACATAAGAGAGAGAGAGCGCCAGAGAGAGAGAGGGAGGGAGGGAGGGAGAGAGGGAGAGAGAGAGAGAGAGAGAGAGAGAGAGAGAGAGAGAGAGAGAGAGAGAGAGAGAGAGTGTGTGTGTACCTCACATACAAAATCTACTATACTTAGTTTTGGCACCATGAAAATTACTATTTGATTATAATCAATTCAGTATGTTTTCTCTATTAATTTCGTATGTGATGCTTTCAAGTCAGAGCATGTGGCCAAAGTGAACCAGGGAAAGAGGATAGGGTGAATGGCCATCACACACAGTACTTTATTACCCTGTGGTCTTTAGTTCTGCTATGTACATTGTGTTCAGCTGCTCATTCAGTAGGGCAAAGTATCTGTCAAAGAATCAATATGCCTTCCACATTACACTGAGAGCATTCTCCTATCTATATGAGAGCTAATCTGCATTACAGAAAAAAATGTGTATTAGAATATGCTATATTTCTATCTCAGTTACTTGGGAGGCTGAGGTGGTTCAGAAGAGTTCGAGAAAATACTGCACTTCCTTTTTTATCTTTTCCCTTATAGTCAGTCTCTAGCACATGTCAGATATTTAATAATACTTCTGAATTGAAATAAATGTAACAGAGAATTAGGTATATATAAGTTCAGAATGAATGACATAACCAGAAAAGTGAGATTCTTTTGAAAAGAGTCTACGGAAAAGGAATTTTGTGATTTTAGAAGACTCAAAGGAAAGTATAGCAGATCACAAATAGGTAATATGAGAAATGTCATGAGAGTGGGGCAGATAGAGTCTAAGGTGAGTAAATGGAATCAATCAGCTTTGGGAAAAAGATGTAATGCCAGCACAGTTTGTCTGAGAGTAGAATATACACACAGGAAAATAATTACAGAAATGAGGTCAATACTCTGGGATATGTCATCACCAAACCTGAAAAGTGGGCCAAAAAACTGCAGCAAGTTCATTTTTAACAAAACTGATAAACACTGTTAAATTATGAGATTATTAAATAAATATAGCACAAACTTCATGGGGGAAAAAATGTTTTGAAATACCAGGTGGAAAAAAAGCCCAAATGATAAGATACAAAAGTAAAACTGTAAAATAACCAACTTAGGGCAGAGAAGGTATGTAGGTGTATTTTCCAATATTTCTTTTATGATAGAGGCAATGATTTAAAAATCAAAAATTTTTTAAAGGCATGAGCATAAACTGTTGAAAGAAATGCCTCAACCTTGCTGTGTAGTGGGTCACACTTGTTAATTCCACCACTTTAGGAGGCCAAGACAGAGAGGCTTGAGGCCAGGAATTCCAAGGCCAGCCTGGCCAACACAGCAAGACCCCAACTCTATTTAAAAAAAAAAATTATGAAAACAGACTATTACAGTAAAATAGTAAAAAAAAAAAAAAAAAATTAGCTGGATGTGGTGGTGATTACATGCCTGTAATCTCAGCCACTCAGGACACCACAGTGGGATGGCTGCTTGAGCTTGAAGGTTGAGGCTGCACTGAGCCATGATCATGCCACCACACTTCAGCCTGAGTGACAGAGATCCTGTCTCAAAAAATAATAAATAAATGCAAAAATAAACATTTAAAAAGAAATGCCTCAACCCTACCTAAATCCTACTTTAAGTCAGCTAAATAGTTTCAGGATGAACCACCTCAAAGTCAAGGTCGGTGGCCCAAAAAGAGTGCTGAAATTTTGCTGTACATGCTTAAAAATGCAGAGAGTAATGCTGAACTTAAGGGTTTAGATGTAGATTCTCTGGTCATTGAGCATATCCAAGTGAACAAAGCACCCAAGATGCGCTGCCGGACCTACAGAGCTCATGGTCAGATTAACCCACACAGGAGCTCTCCCTGCCACATTGAGATGATCCTTACTGAAAAGGAACAGACTGTTCCTAAACCAGAACAGGAGGTTGCCCAGAAGAAGATATCCCAGAAGAAACAGAAGAAACAAAAACTTATGGCACAGGAGTAAATTCAGCCTTAAAATAAATGCAACTAAGAATCAAAAAAAAAAAGAAACATCTCAAAGAGTCCTAAGGGACAGGACAATACCAACTTCTCACTATTTGCACCAACTACTTCAGTCCTAAGTTGTCCAATGCAAGGAAAAGAACAGGGTTTCTATGCTTCTTTTTCAAATTCCACAGGATATAATTCCAGAATCTTTGGTAACAAAGGTTTTTAAAAAGGTATAATAATTCAAACTGGAGAATAATGCTAGAACCCAAAGTACTCACTTTTCGAAGAATATTCAGTCGATACTTTAATTTTAAATTTTCTTCTTGTAACTGCTCCAAATTTGGAGAAGCTCCTAAAGAACCACAGTTTTTCAACCGGTCAATTTCAGCAGTCAGAGATTTAATCTCTTTTTCCTGGGGAGAAAAAAGGCACTTTTTTCAGTCCATAAACTTACTTTCACATTTCCCCTCTTCATCAAGGCACAGCATAGACCATGGGAATCATTAATGTGCCCTTTGACCATCCGTGATTTTTTTCTCCTCTGAGACTTTTGCTGACATTGGCATATTATCCTTAATAAGAAAATACTGGCCAGCATGGTAGCTCACGCCTATAATCCCAACACTTTTGGAGGCCAAGGCAGGTGGATCACTTGAGGCCAGGAGTTCGAGACCAACAGAGACCATCAGTGTTGCCAATACAGCAAGACCGTGTCTCTACTAAAAATACAAAAATTAGCTAGGAATGGTGGTGCATGCCTGTAATCCCAGCAACTTGGGAGGCTGAGGCATGAGAATCGCCTGAATCCCAGAGGCAGAGGTTGCTATGAGCTGAGATCATGCCAGTGCACTCTAGCCTGGCTGACAAGGCGACTCTGTCTGGGGAGGAAAAAAAAGAAAGAAAGAAAGAAAGAGAGAGAGAGAGCGCGCGTGCGCATGCCCACCCGCCCCCGCCAGCCAGCCAGCCAGCCAGCCATGGTGGCTCATGTCTGTAATCCCAGCACTTTGGGAGGCCGAGGCAGCTGGATCATGAGGTCAGGAGTTCAAGACCAGACTGGCCAACATGGTGAAACCCCATCTCTACTAAAAAATACAAAAATAAGCTGAGCATGGTGGCTCATGCCTGTAATCCCAGCTACTTGGGAGGCTGAAATAGGAGACTTGCTTGAACTGGGACCCGGGAGGCAGAAGTTGCAGTGAGCAGAGATTGTGCCACTGCACTCCATCCAGCCTGGGCTACAGAGCAAGACTCCATCTCAAAAAAAAAGGAAAGAAAAGAAAATGTTAAGCACGCATATATTTAAATATATCTTATATCCCGTTTTTTTTCTTTGGCTCGGTAAGACACTCTGATTTAGCAAGAGACTTAGTTAAGTTTCAGGTTGACCAACCTGCTTTTATTCCCAAGTCTTATGACTTGGGACTCTTAAAAAACCAAACGTCTTTTGTCACATTCAAAATAGCTCAAGGGTCTGCCTTTTACCCTTTCCAGGACTAAACAATGTTCCCATTTCTTCCTACTTCCAGTGTCTTAGGTCCTAGACTAGACGAGACCAGGCTTTGTACTTTAATATCTAAAACTAAACACATGTCAATTCAGAAAGAAAGCTTCTAACTTAACTGCAGAACTCAGAGGGAGAGTCCTCATCTGAAATTTCAGAATACTTACAGGGTGATAGCTACAGCCAAAGCTAAATTGCCATAAATGAGCATACATTATGTTCCAGGAGCTGAGCTAAACACTTTTCAGAAATTACCTTCACGATTATTACAACCTAGTAAGGCAGTCCTTATCATCCCATACTGATAAATATATGGCTCAGAAATGTAAAGAACCTGCCAATTTACTCGACTAACTTGTACTTTGCGACTGCTGATTAAGTATAAAGCTGTAACCAGTACTGTGAACTACTTTCCTACCATCTCTCCCCATCTGGGGAACTGTCCCGCTTTCACTTTCATAAGGTGCGGCTGTTCCTTCCCAACGAATGTGGAGAGCAGAGAGCAAACTCCCGTTGGTCTGATAATGAATCACTCCATGGGCTTATTAGGAATCCTCTTGCTCAGTAACCCGGAAAGAACTGTGGCTGAGCAGCAAACCAAGACCCAGAGCTCCTGAGCGTATCCTGCTTTGTCTATCTCCCCGCATTCCTTAAGAAAGCATGTGTGTATGCAGAGGAGGAGGTGGATTGCGGGGAGAAACTTGTTCTGAACGTGCCAGGCTCCAGCCCACGAAGACGCTGGGTTGGGAGGCCTGGGAGAGGATGGGGACCCTCCATTCCGCTGAAAGTCACAATCACACGGGCTTTGGAATGATGGGTGCTTCCTCTCATCCCTTCCTGCTCCCACAGGGACCCTACCACCCGCCTCAGAAAGGATGGTCCTCGCCTAGCAGTCCCTCCCTCGACACCATTCGGGCAGGAGCCAGAGCCTGCTCCATCTCTTCTAGGCCTTCCCGCCGGTGTCCCGCGGCCAAACCTGCTGCAGTAGCCGCTCGGAGCACTGAGCCACCAGTCCTTCCATCCCGTCAGCGTCTCACTCGCCAAGTGGACGGAAGCGGAAAAGGTTAACCTCTCCCGGAAGCGGAAACCCTCTCCGGTCCGCTGTCACGTCGGACTGGGTGCCGCCGCCTCTGCTGCCTCCTGGTGGGATCCAAGAAACACTACGAGGAGAACCCGTTGGGGATGTCGGCCAGAGAGGCTGCAGCCCAGGGATATTTGGGTAAGGGGAGAGTAATTGAGCAGAAACGAACCATAGCTGCTCTGTGCTTGGATTGACTTGAACAGGCACTAACCTAGAGCTTCTGGCTCTCAAAGGCCTCACTTTGTCCCTCTGTGAAATGGGCACAAAATTAACCATTCATTTGTGCAACAAGCATTTATTGTGTACTTTAAAATGCCAGACACTATTCTAGCCCCTGAGGGCACAGAGAAAACAAAACGGGCAAGATCTCCCCTCTCATGGCAGCTACATTTTAGAGTGGAGTGATAAAATAGACCAAAAAAGGTAATAATCTCAGGTAGTTTAAATTGCCAGGAAGGCAATGTGATAGAGTGACTTGTGTCAGAGAAAGCACCTCTAAGCAAGTGACATTTGAGTTAAAATCTTATTTATTTTTCCGGTTTTATTGAGGTATAATTGACAAATGTTGCATACAATAGCGATGTACAACATAATATTTTGATATATGTGTACATTCCGAAATGATTACCATAATCAAGATAATTAACATAACACTCATCTCATACAGTTATCATTTACGTGTGTGTATGTGTGTGTGTGTGTCTGGTGTGAACATTTAAGATCTATCCTCAGCCTGGGAAACAGCTAAGACCTCGTCTCTACAGAAAAAATGGAAAAATAGCTGGGCATGGTGACGTGTGCCCCGAGTCCCAGATATGTGGGAGGCTGAGGTGGGAGGATCACTTGAGCCCAAGAATTTGAGGCTGCTGTGAGCCATGATTATGCCACTGTATTTCTGCCTGGGTGACAGAGTGAGATCCTGTCTCTATTTAAAAAAAACAAACAAACAACAACAACAACAAAAACTGCAAGTATACAACATACATTACGTCTCCAGTATTTATTTATCCTGCCTAACTGAAACTTTGTAACTTCAAGCAACATCTCCCATCTTTCCTACCCTACAGCCCTGACAACCACCATTCTATGCTCTGCGTCTATGAATCTGAATTTTTTTTTTATTACACGTATGCATGAGCTAAGGTAGTATTTGTTTTCCTGTGCCTGGCTTGTTGCACTCACTTAATGTTCTCCAGGTTCATCTAGGTGACAACATGTCATCTATGTTGAAACCATAACAGGGTTTCCTTTTTAAAGACTGAATAATATTTCATTGTATATATATTGAGTTAAAATTATAAACAGCAGACCTGGGACCTAAGAAGGCAGGGACCTTAATTATCTTGTTCACTCTTCCCTATGGCTCCAGAACTTAGAAAGTAGCACTCTCTGAACTTTTTGCCTGTGTGCTTCATAGAATTTTAATAATTCATATCTCATTTTATACTTTTAAAAGTTGACATCAGGTTGGACACAGTGGCTCATGACTGTAATCCTAGCACTTTGGGAGGCTGAGGCAGGCAGGTTGCTTGAGCCCAGGAGTTCAAGACCAGCCTGGGAAAAATAGTGAAACCTTGTCTCTACCAAAAATACAAAACATTAGCCAAGCATGGTAGTGCACACCTCTAGTCCCAGCTGTATAGGCAGCTCAGGAGGGAGGATTGCTTGAACCCAACAGTTCAAGGCTACAATGAGCCATGATTCTGCCACTGCATTCCAGTCTGGGCAATGAAGTGAGACTCTGTCTCAAAACAAACAAACAAACAAACAAAAACAAAAAACCTGACATCTAAAAACTCTTCTCACAACTTTAAATAGTGAGAATGGATTATTTTCTGGCATGATGTTTCATAAGTGCTCTCACTGTATTTTCATCAAAACTGTGGATTTGCAAGTTTAGCTTGTCCAATTTATGGAAAATGTCTGCCATATTGTTTCATTGGCAAAGCCAGTCCTCTTTGTCCAATCAAATAATCCAAATTATTTTACTTAATTTTTAACCATTTTAAAATTGCCTTTATTTTTTTTCTTTTTAAATTAATTAATTTTACATAGAAGTATTTGAACTATCCTTTATTTTGTAAATCAAATAAAAGTGTTAATATAGGGCCAGATGAGGTGGCTCACACCTGTAATCCCAGCACTTTGAGAGGCCAAGGCGGGCAGATTGCCTGAGGTTCAGAGTTCAAGACCAGCCTGACCAATATGGTGAAACCCTCTCTCTAAAAAAAAAAAGAAGTGTTAATATACTAGTCCTTTCTTATCTGTGGGAGATACCTTCCAACACACCTCAGTGCATGCCTGAAACTATGGATAGTACCAAACCCTATATATATACATTATGTTTTTTCAATCCAGTAATTCAGAAGGCTACTACTAAGTAACGGATGGGGAGTGTAGACTGTATGGATTTGTTGTACCAAGGGAGGATTCACATCCTGGGCAAGACAGAATGGGACGGTGGAGATTTCATCATGCTACCAAGAAATGGCATGCAATTAAAAACCTATGAATTGATTATTTCTGAGTTGGTTGTTGAAATCTATGAATTGGTCATTTTCCACTTAATATCTTTGGAATGTGGTTGACAACGGGTACCTAAACCACACATGGGGGTGACTACTGTACATGTCCCTGAAATGGTCTTTGCAAAATTATGACAGTAAGAGAAATTTGACATCTTGCTTGTAGTCTCACAGGCTATCTGTCTTTGCTCATTTCTGGGTGTGGGCCAAGCTAACTTTGGGGAAAATTTAGTTTAAAGTTAAAATGATAATAGCCCTTCCTCCAAATCGAACTGTTCTTGTAAAACTAATGCAAGGTAACGAAGCTGTGAGGATGAGAGGGGCTTGAATTCTAAATAATTGTCACCCGTCATTCTGGAGGTCAGATCTGCAGCTTCCACAATAACTCTTGCAGACAGGCTCTGGCGGCACAAAGAAAGCAAAACAGACAAGATCTCTCCTCTTATGGCAGCTACATGTTAGAGTGGAGAGATAAAATAGACCAAAAAAGGCAGCAATCTCAATAGTTTTAATTGCCAGGAAGGCAATGTGGTAGAGTATCTTGAGTTGGGTGGCCCCTCCTGGCCCCACCAGCCAGCCCTGTGGCCCCTAACCAGGAACTGACTCAGCACAAAAGGCAGCTTTGATTTCTTATGATTTAATCTCCAACTCAACCAATCAGCATGCCCCTACCCTACCCCACTGCCCAGCAAACTATCTTTGAAGAACCCCTAACTTAGGAGCCTTCGGGGAGGTTGATTGAGTAATAATTCCGTCTCTCTTTTTTTTTTTTCTTTTTTTAAAGATGGGTTTTCACCATATCAGTCAGGCTGGTCTTGAACTCCCAACCTCAGGTGATCTGCCCACCTTGGCCTCCAAAGTGCTTGGATTACAGGCGTGAGCCACCATGCCCGGCCGTAACTCCGTCTCTTATGTGGTATGGCTAGACTTGGGTCAACTAAACTCTTTCTTTATTGCAATGCCATAGTGTCCGTGAGTCAATTTTGTTTGTGCAGCAGGCAGGAAGAATCCACTGGGTGGTTCCATCACTCTGACACCTTATTTCTAAATTCTGAGAAAGATGGAGGAAGGGATGGACAAGTTGGTGGATAGACAAAGGGATAGGCAGATAGATCTCTATCTTCAAGGTAAAGGAAGAAATAAAAACAATCCATCATTTTGCTAAGCCCCCTTTGTTTAGTGCTCAAGGATATGACCTCTGGAAAAAAATACATTCTTGAAGTGCCCCTTGTTCAATTCCTGTTAGTTTACACCCAGGCAATGTGGAGTCCTGATTTAGGGAGGTGGAGTCTGGCTGGTGGGAATGAAGGAAAGCAAAAAGAGAAAGCAGATAAGCTATAAGTCTGCTTTTCTTTATGGTTCAGGATACGTAGTCCTCCTGTGCAAATAACTCACAATCTTCCTGCACCCAGCTATTATCAGACACCTCAGGTGATAGAAAAATGTAACTTAGCTCACTGCAATCAGCATTATCAGTACTGCACAAAGCCCTCTTTAACACAGCCCAAGCACCATTCTATCAAATTCCCAGCAAGCCTTTGTTTCCTGCAAGTCAGCTCCTGTCTTACTGATTTGCCTGTTGCACCCTTGCAATGTACTTTCCTGCTTTGTCTAATACATCTGCCTTTCTTTACATACAACAGTCTTGGTAAATTCTTTTCACTACCTACATGACACAGGCCCCAGAGAGTCACTACCCATGACAGGCAATGGAAAGGGTGCTATGCTTTTGTTTGTGGAAGGGGAGATGTAAAAGGATAATTGGAAAACAGTTTGCAGGCCAATCAATTTTAGAAAAGAGTATACAAAAATTCAGGATTCCCCTAATGTATCTGGACCCACAGATCCCTTTGAAGGGTCTTCCCAACTGTGCTACATGCACCTGGGGGTACAGAACTTCCCAATCTCCCAACAAAAAAAAAGTGGGGGGATTGGTTACTAGCCCAGATGGAGAGACTGGCAAAAGTGAGAGCACATAGGAATTTGTAAGTTATACAGGATTTCCTGTACCCGGAGGTACATCTAGCCCAGTTGAGAAGACCGTTCATCTTACTGATGTAAAGGAAGAAACTGAAGCAAAATTAATAAGTAGAGAGTCTATTTGGGCTAGGGTTGAGGACTGCGGCCTGGGAGTCATGGATTCAAGTTGCCCTGAATATATACTCCCATTAGTAGCTGTCACAAGTGGGTTAAAAAAGGAAAAAGATGAAAAAGTTAGGATGCAGTGCCTAAGTTGCTTACCAAGAATTTACAATGGTTCATTAAAATAACATAAGCTACCATTGTCTGTATATTGATCTTTGTATCATAAACTCCAGGAATGTGAAGATAATAGGTGAGGGTCACATTGTGTAACTTGTGATAATATTGTGGGTAATTTATCAGTTACTCTGAAATTACAGTGAAGGAAAGAGAAAACAAAATGCCTTTAAATAATTACCCCCAGGCCTAGGTGCAGAGAATGTAACAGATGTCTCAAGCTCCTGCATCTCTGGGCCTAATCAATTTTGCATACCTGACATTCCTCAGACAGCTCTGAGCCACTTTCTCAATGTAGAGTAGCGCTTGACACAGGGTATTGCTCTAAAACTATTTTTTTTTTTTAGACGGAGT